AGAGAGTGTTGCTACGGGTATCACCCATGAAGGGTCTAATGAGATTCGGAAGGAAGGGCAAGTTGAGCCCTAGGTATATCGGACCTTTTGATATTCTAGAGAAGGTAGGAGAGGTGGCTTACAGGCTTGCATTGCCACCGGGGTTATCATCAGTTCATCTGGTGTTCCATGTGTCCATGCTTCGAAAGTATCACGGCGATCCGTCCCATTCCGGGCGTGTTCTTAAGCCTTAAAAATCTCATTAAGTTGAAAATTGATGAAAATAAGAATATTTGCCTTAAAAGTTGATTTTAGTTGACTTTGGTCAACATTTTTGGTAAACGGGCTCGGATCCATGTTTTTACGGTCTCGGTGGGCCCGTATCGAATTATGGGACCTGGGCGTATGCCCGGAATCGAATTCGGAGGTCCCTAACTCGAGTTACGAATTTTTGATGAAAATTAAAAGTCTGAAAATTTAAATATTTTTAAGAATTGATTGATATTTGACATTATTAGTACCGGGTCCGTATTTTGGTTCTAGAGCCTGGTACAGGTTCATTATAATATTTAAGACTTGTCTGTGAAATTTGGTGAGAAACGGAGTTGATTTGACGTGATTCGTACGCCCTGTTGAGAAGATAAAAATTTTAAAGTGTTCTTGAGAATTTCATTTGATTTGATGCTAAATTCATAGTTCTAGGTGTTATTTTGGCGATTTGATCGCGCGAGCAAGTTCGTATGATGTTTGTAGACTTGTGTGCATGTTTGGTTTGGAGCCCCGAGGGCTCGGGTGAGTTCCGGATAGGCCACAGGATGTATGGACTTTGGAAAATCTGCAGATTCTGGTGCCTACTAGTTTCCTTCTTCACGTTCGCGAAGGCACTCTCGCGAACGCGAAGTAGAAACTGGGATGGCTGATTTTTACTCTTCGCGAACGCGAAGGCCTGGTCGCGAACGCGAAGGCCTGGTCGCGAACGCGAAGTGATAGGGGATTTACCCTTCGCAAACGCGACCGGCTCATCACGAACGCGAAGCATTTGGGACCTGGGGGAGGGTCGGTCTTTCCTTCATCGCGAACGCGAGCAATGTCTCGCGAATGTGAAGGACAGGGGGGAGCAACCATTGCGAACGCGAGCAAGGTCTCGCGAATGCGATGAACACTGTCGCCCAACACTTAAAACAGAATCAAACACGGGATTAAGCCATTTTTTCAACTTTTTATAAAACAAACGGGCTAGAGGCGATTTTCAAGAGATAATTTCTTCCCCAAAGTGTTGGTAAGTGATTCTAAACCATTTTCTTCTAATTACCCTTTTCATGTCATAAATTTTCAACCTAAAATCTAGAGTTTTCATGGTAGAATTAGGGGTTTGGGTAGAAACTAGGAATTTCGAAAATTTGGGGATTTAGACCTCAATTTGAGGTCAGATTCCAAAACCAAATATATATCCGGGCTCGAGGGTGAATGGGTAAATAGATTTTGGTCCGAACCTCGGGTGTTGACCCAGCGGGCCCGGGGTCGATTTTTGACTTTTTGGAAAAAAATTTGGGAAATCTAAATTTATGCAATATAATTAATTCCTTTAGCAATATTTGATATTATTGAGTTATTTTTGAATAGATACGAGTGGTTTGGAGGTGGATTCTAGAGGAAAAGCTGTGATTGAGTATTAAGTAGCCTTCAAAGCGAGGTAAGTGTTGTGTCTAACCCTGACTTGAGGGAATTAGGAACCTCAAATTATTTGTTATGTGAAATTCATGTGAGCGGCGTATATGTGAGGTGACGAGTACTTATGCGCCGCCAATTTACGTGTTTTCCATGTTTTCTCCCATTTTTCTTATATTGTGTCTTTCCTATGCCTAATTGTTACGTGTTTAGACTAGTGTTGTTAAATGGATCGTTCTTGTCATGTTTACGGATTCTCTGGTGATAATTGAGTATTTATTTCAAAGTTGAGATTGATATTGTGGAACCAATTATTGAAGTAAGGCTTGTACTTGTTATTCCATCTCCCTGTTGCTATTTATGCGTTGCATTATGGTAAGGGAGAGTGTTCATGCATGAAGGGTGATGCCGTGCCATATTATAAGTATAAAAGCATAAAGGGTGATGTCGTGCCATATTGTGAGTGTTAATGCACGAAGGATGATGCTGTGCCATATTGTGAGTGTAAAAGCATGAATGATGATGTCGTACCATATTGTGAGTGTTAATGCACAAAGGGTGATGTCGTGCCATATTGTGAGTGTTAATGCACAAAGGGTGATGTCGTGCCATATTGTGAGTATAAAAGCACGAAGGGTGATGCCATGCCATGATATGAGAATTAATGCACGAAGGGTGATGCCGTTTTTTGGTGAGATTGAGAGTAAAAACACGAAGGGTGATGCCGTGCATTTTTCCTTTACTGTATTCGTGCTCCTGTTGATTCATAGTATATTGGTTGTTCCAGTTCTCATTCTACTGTAGCTCTTTATGTCGTATTCCCCCAACATGTTTCCCCCTCCCGATGATTCTTGTCTAGCTCTTCATTACTGTTATTTGTATATACACTGTTAAATTGTACATATTGATTTGTAGGTGCCTTCCTTTAGCCTCGTCACTATTTCGTCGAGGTTAGGCTCGACACTTACCAGTACATAGGGTCGGTTGTACTGATACTGCACTTTACACTTTCTGTGTAGATTTTAGTACCGGCTCGCGTTGATCGAGATTTTAGCTATTGGACCCACTATCCGGAGACTCAAGGTAGATCTGTCAGCATTTACAGACCTTGAAGTCCCCGTCTATCCTTCTGTTTTACTGTTTCTTTCATTAAAATAGTTGTATTTCTTTCAGATTATTACTTGTAGTAAATTCTACAATGCTCGTGAATTGTGACTCCAGATCCGGGTGGTAGTAATTAATACAGTTTTATATTATTTCGTACTTATTATATTTCATCTTAGTTAATTCTTGTTATTTACTGAGTGGAAATAAGGATTTGGTTTAATGATTCTCTAATGTTTGCTTGCCAAGCAAGTGAAACGTTAGGCTCCATCACGGTCCCGACGGTGGGAGTTCCGGGTCGTGACATGTATATGCATGTGCCAGGGTGTCTCGACCCAAAATCCAACTAGCCGTGACGTCACCTAACTTCACCCGCTAGGTAAGCCAAATAACAACAATCCGATTCAATTAATATTTAACTGACTTTAATGCACTCCCCAAGGACTGGTAGTCCAAATCATGAGCTTCTAAGATTAGAATTTAATAAACTAATATGAAATAAAAATACGTCATCTGTTTGAAATATACATGAACAGATTAAAAATTCTAAAGCTACCATGAATAAGAGGCAACAATGACTTGAACACAGGTACATCTTCAGATCCAGCTCCCGCTGTACGCAGCAACATCAACATTAGAAATCTGCATGCAAGGTGCACAAGTGTAGTATGAGTACAACTGACCCCATGTACTCAATAAATAACAAACCTAACCTTAGGTTGAAAGTAGTGACGAGCTTGTACCGTGGTCATAGTCCACTCCAATAACCAATAAAGTCTCATAACAATACAATTTAAATCAGCACAAGTAATAACTCAATAATAAAATGCTCAACTCGTATACAATTTTGGAAAATAAACATTTTCTTTTCAAGTATAACAGTAAAACTCAAATCCTTAGCTGAAAATCACCAAATATATGAGTACTTCTTAAATCTTTGACGTACAACCCATAACAATAAATCCTATAAGGCCTGTTGCGACGTGCAGCCCGATTCATATGATAATAAAGTATATAAAGACAATATAGCCTGATGCGGCGTGCAACCCGATCCCATAATTATCCTCACAATCAGGCCCTCGGCCTCACTCAGTCATCAATCTCTCCAGTCTCTCGGGCTCACAATGTCATGAAACTAGCCCAAAATATTGATATGATAAATCAATAAATAATAACAGAGTCTGAGATATGATATGAAATGAATGTATATGACTGAGTATGAAATTACAATTTAAACAAATAATTCAACAACAACATGACCTCTGTGGGTCTCAATAATACCGTAATATAGCCTCAACATGATTTGTAACATGATTCTCAACTCGATTTCCTTAACACATGAAAGTACATGGACAATGCCAAGATTATTTGACTACACAATTCCACAGAATTAATTACGTCATAATTTCTACGGTGCACGTCCGCACGCCCGTCACCTAGCATGTACGTCACCCCCAAACAAATCATATAACACGTATTATCGGGATTTATACCCTCAGCTCCAAGTTTAGAAATATTACTAACCTCAAACCGTTCAATTCTCTATTCCAATATGCCCTGCCTCGCGAATCGTCCTCCGAACGCCTCAAATCTAGTCACAATTAATTCGATACAGTCAACACAAATTATAGAAATCAAATCCATATGAAAATACTAACTTTCCCAATGAAATCCGAAAAATCCACCCAAAAATGATAGTGGGGCCCATATCTCAGAACCAGACAAAAGTTATAAAATATGAATGCCCATTCAACCATGAGTCCAACCATACCAAATTTACCAAATTCTGATATCAACTCAACCCTCAAATTCTCAATTTAACCTTAAGGGTTTTCACAATTTTACCAACTTAAAACACCAATTAAATGTTAAAAATAATAATAGATTCAAATAATTTGACCAAAATTGAGTTAAGAACTTTTACCCCGATATTTTCCTTGAATATCTCCCGAAAATCGCCTCTCCCTGAGCTCCAAATCGTCAAATATGAAAAATGAGGTCTCATTTTCAGAACTTAAGTTCTGCTGGCCAGTCATTTACCCTATGCGATCACGGAAAATTCTTTGCGATCGCGAAACACAAAAATTTTCAGAGCATTTTTACTCTATGCGATCACGGCCATTTCTCCGCGATCGCGAAGCACAAACTTCTACTACACTTCCCAAATTCTTCTCAGACAGCATGTAATGTATTGTTCATAACATTTTGTATAAAGGCTCCATGAAATACTTAAAGTGTGTAAAGGCTCCATGGTACTCATAGAGGGTAAACTGCATTCTAAATTGTATCATCTTCATGCCAGTGTAGTTGAAGGGGAAGTTGTTGTAGCTTCTGGGAAAAGTGATCTGAATCAGTATCAGTTATGTCACTTGCGACTTGGTCATATGAATGATAAGCGATTGTCTTTGTTGGGTAAGCAAAATTTACTGAATGGGGTACAAAAACTAAGTTTTGAATTTTTGTGAGCATTGTGTGTTTGGTAAACAGACAAGGGTAAAGTTCAGCAAGAAGGTCGAGCGCAAGACCAGAGACAAGTTAGATTATATATATTCAAACTTGTGGGGTCCAAACCGAGTTCCCTCCAAGAGTAGTGCCAGGTATTTTATGACTTTGATTGATGATTACTCAAGGATGGTGTGGGTGTATTTTTTGAAAACAAAAGATGAGGCATCTTCGACATTTGTTAAATGGAAGACGATGGTTGAGAGGCAGACGAAAAGAAAAGTTAAGCATCTTCGAACTAACATTGGGTTGGAATTTTACAATTTCGAGTTCGATAATTTCTGCAACAGAGTGGGCATAGTGAGACATGACACTTATGTCAGAACACCATAACAAAATGGTATCGTAAAACATATGAACAGAACGTTTTCTGATAGGGCACGGAGCATGCTTTCATACTCATGTGTTAGCAAGGATTTTTGGGCTGAAGCAATCAATACAACTTGTTATTTGGTCAACA